CAGGAAGGCACTTGCGTGATACTGTGCAAATTGAGGTCTGATTCATAGTTAAGCCTATACCTGCCTGGATTTCTACCTTCTATATCTTTTACTTGCTAAATTCCCTACCAGGCTCGGCTGCATGCCCTTTTTCTCCTTAATCCATCATCCCAGCTGTATTATCTTCAGATCCACCGGATCCATGGCGTAATCATAATGAGGTCACCATATTATGGGTACACTGTCCTGGACCCAAGCCACTTTGATCCACCTTACTGTAAGTGTACACTCATCATGGATCTGAGCCCTCCAACCTTCCAACATCACCTTATGACTGTCTGCGGTCTCCATCGCTCCACGATAGCTCGAGATCCATTGTTTCCCCCATCTCCATATCCTGGATCCAGGTCATTCGGTGTGAGATCCTCAATCCTTTGGATCCGGACTTGGCGAAGTGGGATCCGAGGTATCTAACGGTGGATTTTGCCTTCTCTTTTGTTGCTGATACCAGATCCACCTTTAGATGACATCCACAGCCTTTCTTCCATAGAATCCCCACTCGATCCACTCGCACATGGTATATCCATGTCCCTCGGTATAATTGGGTGAGAGTGGATCCGAGTTTCCCTTTGGTCGATCTCAGCTGTACCGACACCAACCATGTTCTTCTTTCGTTCTTCATACTCTGAGCCACTTGTGATCGCCAGATTCATCGTCGACCTATATGGGGTACCACTTTACCCCGGCCCAATCCACTTCGAGCGGTGTGGATCCAATGCTGGGCAATCCAGATCCACCCTAACCACCCGGTGTTGTCACTAATCCGCGATAATGACTCCATGTCAGATCCCGTCTCTCATTTCTGAGAAAGCACCTCACCACAGTGCGGCGCCTCGTGGGCATTATATGAAATGCGATCGCTTTAAGACGATCACTCGGTTCCCCTACTTTGCCAGCGGTACAGCAGTTTCCAGCGTCAGATGAAAAGGCTTGGAAAGTGCGGTCGGTCTTGCAAACCATCGAGAAGACGTTCCGCCGTGGCTATCGGATGGCCGCTCGAGTCAGTTTCGACGAAGGCATGATCCCAAATCGAAGTCAATTCAATCCTATCCGCGTTTACAACGAGGATAACCCACATAAATATGGCACGAAGTGCCATATGACGTGTTGCGCTAAAACGGGCTATTGCTCAAGGTACGACGGCTATTCAGTATTCAAGAGAATCGATGTATGCTGTATTGTACCGAAGAAACTTACTAGTAACAATGTTATTATGTACGTCATTCTGGATGTTATTTTGTATGCTACAGAGTTGAAGTGTACTTTGGAGCCGAGAAGGACAAAAAGAAAGCAAAGGAAGTGGCGCAAAAGGCTGTCATTCGCAGCATCTCGAAGGCATTTGACGGGCAGCCTGGCAAGCGACTCATCGTTGCCGACAACTTCTACAGTTTGCGTGCATTGACACTGACTGGGCTGCTACTTTGTCGGGATACACCGCAACGACCGCTTGGGAGCAACCAAAACCCTTGTTTTACACAAAAGATTCGACCAGTTTGGATGCCGCGTGGAACTTACCGAATTGCGCACTCGACGATACATCCGAAGCTAGTAGCCGGTGCCTGGATGGACAGCAAGCCAGTAAACATGATTGCCACCGGATGAGCTACTACCGTGACTAACGTAGCGAGGAAGGACAAGTGCACAGGCGCGGTGACGCAGGTACCGTGTCCGCAGCTAGTGGTCGACTACCACTCGGGAATGGCCAGCTACGTCTCCAGAGCTACTCCCTTCAGTAGTGTGTCGTCTTTAGAAAATACTACAAGCAGCCCTTTCTCGCCTTCGTAGACGTGGCGATAGTCAATGGGCTCATAATCCACAAGTTAGTGAAGACAAAGAGAAATGAACCTGTGCCCACTCATGCTGAGTACATGCGCCGGCTTCAGATTGAACTGCTTGGAGTCACGGCAGCCACGTTTCAAACCAACATGAGCACCGAGAATTTAGCGACCGTCCTGATGCCTACACACGAGCATGTCCGGGAAAACAATGAGCAACTATACCGCGGCGAGCGGCGTCAGCATCTCTGCAAGGTGTGTTCAGTGTTAGCACCTTCAAAATCCAAAGGACTGGAGACGAGTTATTTCTGTAAGGCCTGCTGCGATGTCTTTGACGGTTACGTACCGCTCTGCAACCGTGTCCGTCGTGAGGAAACTGGGAAAAATCTCACGTACAGCCAAATCTGGCACACGACCTGGGGCAACGGCACGTTCATTCCACCCACCTAACGAAGCGCCTGCGTTAAGAAGCGCAAACGTGCGGATAGCTCTAGTGATGAGGAAGACGTAGCGTGATAAGCATAGGGAAACGGCGACTATACATCAGTGGAGCACTTAAGGGAAATCATCAATTTAGGGCCACATAAGTTACTGTCAATCAAATACAGTACTCCATTGAACTTGGAAACTATTGGCTATAATAAGCTAAGTACGAATACCTTTAAATTTTTAATATGCAAAAGGGGTGAACTCTTGGCGCCATATTATTATGCAGCTATTCCAACCAAATGAGGTTGTTGAGCGCCATCCACTCCGTTCAAACATTTGCAAGAAGAAAACAAACGCTTCACGTTTTATTTGTCCGACCCAAGCAATGTCCAAGACTCGCCACACTTACTCTACTGACACCAAGACTGCCATTGTGGCAAAAATACTCAGCGGTGCGGCGGTTCCCGAAGTCGCGGCGCAAACCAAGATACTTGAGAGGACAATTCGCAAGTGGGTTACTAAATCGAAAAAGGAACAGTCACTAGAACCCCGTCGCCGCGGACCAAACCCGCACCTGCCTCCAGAGGCAGAGCGCCATTTGTTCGAGTGGGTTGCTGGGCAACAGATTGTCGGGTATCCCGTGGACCGAACTGTCATCCTAAAAAAGGCCCAAGAGATTTCGCTGCTCATTACAGGCCAGAGCGTCGGGGCTGGGTGGTATCAGCGCTTCATGGGACGCAATCTAGAATTGACCCCACGGGTTGCTCAAGCGCTAACTGGAAAACGTAACTGTGTCTCTACAGGCAGCTTGCGTACGCTATTCAACACGTTGGCTAAACTAGTGGTCGAATTACGACTTGACAGCTCCAGAATATTTAATACGGACGAAACTGCGTTTCAAAGACGCAAGAAGAGCAAGAGGGCGATCGCTGTCCGAGGTTCGACGAACGTGTGGTGCTTGGATCCGTCTGTCAATTTTCTTTTGTCTATCGTTGCTTGTGGAAGTGCTGCTGACTTTGTCATACCACCAGCCTATATTTTACCTGGGAAAACTGTGGAATGGGATGTTATTGATGAGTGTAGTGTTTCAAGCGCAGCAATTACGATTTCCCCATCAGGGTTTATCAACACGTATCTATATGAACTATGGCTACATGTTTTTGACAGCTCGGTACCCAGAACTGTCAAAAGGCCGCTATTGCTGGTGCTTGATGGATGCAGTTCTTACTACTCTGGTGATGTCCTTGAAACAGCTACGCGTCTCGAGATACTATTAGTATTGCTTCCGCCCAACGCCACCCACCTATTGCGGCCTCTGGACGTTGCAGTTTTTGCGACACTAAAAGTGAAACTCTGCAATCTGATAAAGGAGGTCGTTGACGTGGACGATGAGGGCTGTGATTGGATTGACAAACCCAACGCAATAAAGCTTGCAAATATGGCTTGGGCCACCAGCAAAATTGGCAGAAATCTCAAGGCTGGATTTAAGGCTTGCGGAATTTTTCCGCTCTCACTGGTGTGTATGCACGAGCGCTTTGGTCTTTATGACAGAAGAGCTCCTCGACACTCTCGCCTGGCAGCATGGCTTCACGTGAAGCCAACCGTTGAAAAAGAGGTGCTTCAATTGGGGGAAAAGCAAAAGAAGTCTTCAAAACGAAACATAGTTACAGTGGGTGGAAGGCTACTTACGCAGGAAATTCTCCAGGGTTTTTTTTTCCAGAAAGCAGCAGAGCACGTACTAAGTCTCGCAGGAAATCTGCAGTCGCCACCGAAGGCAAAGGCTATGGAGTCCCTCAAGAGACGAGCGCAGCCCAACATATTGTCAATTCCGTCGTAGTGTAGCTAATCAACAAAAATGCTAGTTGTAATCTTTACACAATGTTTTAGAATTGATAACTTACCGTTTCAGTGCGGAGAATTAACGGCAACGAGTAGACTCAAACCCGCGACAACCCTGCTCCCATAATGGGCCCTCAATAAGCTAGCCTTTAAACGCCTGAGCTGTCAGCACTTGACGTTTCTGATTTTGTTTAGACAGACGTTTGATCATTCTTGCATAATTATGTATCCTTCACAATTTTATCAAGACGCATTAACACAAACAGAAAGGGTGATCCAACCCTATGCTTGAATGGGCTTGAAAGTTTTCACCAGCTGAACATTTTAATACTGAAGTTAAGGTTAAATGCGGCCCTGAACTGATACGACAAAAATTTCTGTTGCCGTGTCCTGAACGATCAATGCTATTGGTCATTGGCCGCAAAAAATACGATAAAAAATCAGATTACAATTTCGGAAACTGTCTCGCTTTGTGTCCCTGTGCAAATAGTTGCCGAGTTATGTGACTTTCTTTCAGGGCGGCCCTAAATTGAGGATTTCCCTTACCAGTTTGGCATCACACCAAAATTTTCGGCCGGTACCGGGAAATGGTCGAGCGGATTTTTTTTTTACTTTTTTAATAAAACTGTGCGATTAGAAGTGACTGATGTCACTCGTCACTTTAGTGAGGGATCTCTTTACCTTTTAGATTTAGACTTGAATAAAATAAAGAACAGTCACAGCTGTGTTTTGAAACAACTACTCGACAGATCGCACTGAAACGTATACAAATAGAATCTGTAGAGCTAGAGCTTTCGATTGGTGTATTTTAATGCCAGGGTAAAAAAAGCGTCCTCGATGCTGTCGACCTGTTAATCAATAGTATTTTTATTCTGTATGATACAGGATATAGCTTCGTCTTAGATGAGTTAAGTTCGCATGCCTGGATCAAAGAGTTGGTCTAACAACGATCGAGAAGTGGACGTGTCCGCGCCGCCGCCTCCACCGCCACAGTCACCCCCTCCTGTGATGGATACGACGACTATCGGCAAGTACATCGCGCGGTTTCGCAATGAAAAGCCGCAGCCGCGCGATGCCCGTGTGGCTGCCCGAGAAAGCGACTTCTGGTGGACCAAATCACCTCGCTTCCTTCGCAGCCCGTCACCTCCATCCACGTGGACATCTGGCGGTGTTTTTTTATTCCCTAGCGAGGAGGAAAAGGATAAACTGGCAGCTAATACGGACGAGAAAGAAGATAACATTTTAGCTGGAGACGATATAAAGAGCGTCGACAGTGTTGAGAGCAATTTGAGACAAGGTTTGGGCCTCTGGAGTAGCAATTCGAGGCAGGGAACTAGCGCTAATGCGCTAGAATTTACTCTTGCGAAGACACCGGAAGTGGAGCAGTCGTGGGGGTCTATGGACTGGAGATCTTTTGATTTAGAGGAGATGGAGGAGGAAAATGAGGACCCCGAGGAGGTCATTGAGAGGGTACGTAGACGTCTTGGGTGGGGTGCAGCGACGTCAGGAATAGGTTTATCTACTGCGCCGCGATTGAATCCTGTTGAATATCCCCTGTCGATTGATATGAGAGAGCGCAGGAGGGATATCGGTAGGAGCGAGTTAGGGAGGAAGCCTCCGTTGTCGCCCGGCTATACGGAGAAAAGCTTGGGTAGTAACAGGTCGATATTGAGTCGGGGGTCCATGGAGCAAGAACGAGATTTTGGTGGCAGACGGTTTGAGAAGGCGGTGTCGTTGATAGATGCGAAAAATGCGTCAGTAGTTGAAGGAAAGGAGGAGGGAAACCGATCACCAGATACTGAATTTGCAGAGGGTATATATTTTCAATGCGGAAATGAGAGCTCAATGGAAGCACGCGAGGACCAATGCACGCATGATCAGTTGCCGTCAGCGGGTGTCGCAATTGAAGGGCTGCGATCCAATCGCTCGTCAGCAGCTTCACTGAGCTCGACGGTGTCCAAACCGCATGATAATGAATTGATTGCACCGCTGGATGAGAGTCATGGAGAGGTTCTTGGCGCTGGATCTCTCTTCTTGGGTACATCTGAGAGCAATGTTCAAAACGAGGAAGAAAAATCGCAAACATCCCGCCCCATATCGGACCACGACGCAGTTGATGCTATAGCAGAGCCCCCACTTCTACCAACATCAAGCCCAGAAAGACCCGAGTTAACCTCGCCATCGTCAAATGGCTGCGTAGCGGGGCGTTTTCATGACTCGAGTTCATCAAGCAACAGAGGGGACCTGATCCCAACTGAAACGACGAAAACACTTGACAACCTCGTAAGCTTAGTGATGCATTCGTGGGAAAACGGTTTCTTCTCGACATCTGGAAGGTTGGAGGCTGAACCACGAGACGACTCGAATAGTATTAATGGTCCTGCAGTAACTCCAAATGTGAACCTTGCGAAAAAAACCTCCAATAAGACAAATGAAGACAAGGAAGCCGTTGTCATGGTGGAGATTATTGCAGAAGGGAGTGTCCCAACACATACTTTATTTAAAGAAATGTCCACACAACCCGACTCGGAGGATGAGGAAGATGGCGACGTTCCTAGAGAAGAAGACGATCAAATCGCCCAGATGCTTCTCGAACGTATTTCCCGGCTTGAAGAGGCATTGCGTCGGATCGACAGCTGAGAGCTACCTATCTTTATTCCCTTACGTTATCATCACTCGTTTCTCCAAATGAGTCCTTTCTTCTCAGAGCCACGCACTGGCACAATCTCCTTTCGAGTAATGATTTTTTTTACCTGTGGTGTCAAGATACCCGACGTTGACGGGAAGAAGAAGTCCTGTGGCTTACTTGACACTGCGTCGGTTGCCACAAACTGATTGCTGTCTGAAGGACGGAGGGTGCTAGCGAACGTGGTAGCAACGCAGCCAACATATTCTTCCTCGTTATGAATCGTGACCGGTGGCTTCTCCAATGGCACGCGCTTGCCACTGGGCAATGATGCGTTCTTGACGATACGAATAGGCTTGGAATACGCGGGACCTCTCAGGATATCTGAGACTTTATCGAGTTGAGACGGTTTGTCGCGAGGCTGACTACAGATGCTGCCGTGGGCAAGGAACTTCAGCTGCTTCTTGTCAACAACGAGGCGGCGTTCCCACGCATCTTGCTCTTTCTTCAGCGCCTCCTCCATCTCAATACGAAGACCTTCACCGCACATGTGGACACTTCGGAAGTAATCGGGATTCCTCGTGCCGTCTCCGTTAGTTCCGCCAAAGATCATGTCTTTCGAGGGCAAAGTGGAAAAATCAGGCCCCTTTCTAGTGCCAGGTTCGCTCGAGTCTCGAGATACAGGCTTGGGATGGTTGATATTATCAACAAATGGTTGTCGGAGGTCTTCACAACGAGCTTCACTTGGAGTGTTGGGGTGCTTTTTGTACTCACTTGGCTGTCGAGGCGCTGGGTAGATGAATCCTCGTTGTGTCGTCCATTTTTTGCGGGTTTCCTGCTCCTCTGATTGTCGTAGAGCTCC